TTTCCTTTTCAGCATCATCTGTGGAATCAATGGAATCATCACTCAAATATGTGTGAAAATCTCCATTGAGTATATCCAAATATTCTTCATTTAATTTTTGAACATGCTCATTTTTTGGACAAAGAATTGCACGTTTAGATATATTTTTAATATTATCTATAGCAGTGGTTCTCAACCTTGGCTGCACATTAGAATCACCTGGGAATCTTTTTAAAATCCTGATTCCTGGGCCTCATCCTCCAGAAATTGTTTCTTTGTTATGGGGTGGGGCCACAACATTAGTAACAAAGATACAGAATTTAAACCTTATTGTGGGGAGCCGCTAGAGTGTTTTGGACAGGTTCAAGCTTTGGACTGATGAGAGGGCACAGTCCTCTCATTGCCACGTGCAAGTCCCAGCTTGGAGGGCAGGGCCCTCCCAGCACAATTATAGCCAACAGCTGTAGTTGTAAGCTTGAACCTATGGTCCGAACACGTGGCCCCACGTGCCTGAGTGATGTAGGCTTGGTAGGAGTTCAGGTGCATGTAGTTGAGTAGGATTGAAACCCAGGAGAATGTTGTTAACATCTTGGTCACGCCCTTACTTTGCCTCATAGCATCTGCTATAAAATAAAGGCATGGCTGTGGGCGTGGTCGCTGTCTCTCAGAGAAGCAGCGTCCCACCAAGACCCGGCTTTCATTCTCTTGTCTGTCTTTTCTAAGCCTTTCAGCCGCCCCGACTCAGGTTCACCCGACAGTGCGAGCGCGTGGCACACTTTAGAAAGATCTGCCTCCAGGCTCCGAGGGCGGGTTCCTGCCTCAAACTCCACCCTTACAGGAAACAGCTCCAGGAAACAGCTTGGGGGAGGGCACAGCCATTGCCAAGACAACCCCTGCAGGACTGACCTCCTTCCACTTGGTCACGGCAGTTCTTCTGGACATGATGAACACCACCCATGGTTTTTATATAAGTAGATGTTAGCTATTAATATTTAAATTAAATTGTTACCAAAATCAACTTTCACCATAGAAAGCAATATGACATTATTGTTAAGAGCCCAACTTCTGAAGTCAAACCACCTGGTTTCATATGCCAGCTCTATAATTTACTATCTACGTGACTGTTAGGTGAGTTAGCTCCTAATCCTCAATTTTTTAAATTTATTCATTAATTAAGGTATTACATATGTGTTCTTATCACCACACTGCCCCCCACCCCACAACTCACGCCTTCACCCCCGTTGTCTGTGTCCATTGGTTAGGCTTATATGCATGCATACAAGTCCTTTGGTTGATCTCTCCCCCCATATCCCTCCCCTCCCTACCTTCCCTCTGAGGTTTGACAGTCTGATTGATGCTTCTCTGTCTCTGGATCTGTTTTTGTTCATCAGTTTATGTTCATTATATTCCACAAATGAGTGAGATCATGTGATATTTATCTTTCTCTGACTGTCTTATTTCACTTAGCATAATGCTCTCCAGTTCCATCCATGCTGTTGCAAATGGTAAGAATTCCTTCTTTTTTACCACAGCGTAGTATTCCATTGTGTAGATGTACCACCGTTTTTTAATCCACTCATCTGCTGATGGGCACTTAGGCTGTTCCAAATCTTCGCAATGGGGAATTGTGCTGCTATGAACATAGGGGTGCATATATCCTTTCTGCTTGGTGTTTCTAGTTTCTTGGGATATATTCCTAGAAGTGGGATCTTTGGGTCAAATGGGAGTTCCATTTTTAGTTTTTTGAGGAAATTCCATATGTTCTCCACAGTGGCTGTACCAGTCTGCATTGCCACTAGCAGTGTACGAGGGTTCCTTTTTCTCCACATCCTCACCAGCACTTGTCATTTGTTGATTTGTTGATGATAGCCACCCTGACAGGTGTGAGATGGTACTGCACTGTCGTTTTGATTTGCATCTATCGGATGATTAGTGACTTTGAGCATGTTTTTATATGTCTCTTGGCCTTCCTTATGTCCTCTTTCAAAAAGTATTTATTTAGATCCATTGCCCATTTTTTTATTGGGTTATCTTCTTTTTGTTAAATTGTATGAGTTCCCTGTAAATGCTGGAGATTAAATCCTTAACGGTGATAACACTGGCAAATATGTTCTCCCATGCAGTGGGGCTTTCTTGTTGTTTTGTTGATGGTTTCTTTTGCTGTGCAGATGCTTTTCATTTTGATGTAGTCCCATTTGTTTACTTTCTCTTTAGATTCCATTGCCCTAGGAGCTGTATCAGTGAAGAAATTGCTTCGGCATATGTCTGAGATTTTGCTGCCTGTGGATTCCTCTAATATTTTTATGGTTTCCCGTCTTATGTTTAAGTCCTTTATCCATTTTGAGTTTATTTTTGTGTATGGTGTAAGTTGGTGGTCTAGTTTCATTTTTTTGCATGTATCTGTCCAATTTTCCCAACACCATTTATTGAAGAGACTATCTTGGCTCCATTGTATGTTCTTGCCTCCTTTGTCAAATATTAATTGAGCATATTGGTTCGGGCTGATTTCTGGGGTCTCTATTCTATTCCATTGATCTATATGTCTGTTCTTGTGCCAGTACCAGGCAGTTTTGGGAACAGTGGCTTTGTAATACAGCTTGATATCTGGTATTGAGATCCCACCTACTTTGTTCTTTCTCAGGATTGCTGCAGCTATTCGGGGTCTTTTTTTATTCCAGATGAATTTTTGGAGAGTTTGTTCTAGGTCTGTGAAATATGCCATTGGTATTTTAATGGGGAGTGCACTGAATCTATGTATTGCTTTGGGTAGTATGTACATTTTAATGCTGTTGATTCTACCAATCCGTGAACATGGTATGTTCTTCCATCTGTTTATGTCTCCCTCTATCTCCTTTTTCAGTGTCCTGTAGTTTTCCGAGTACAGGTCTTTTATCTCCTTAGTTAAGTTTATTCCTAAGTATCTTAATTTTTTTGGTGTGTTGGTAAATGGGATTGTTTTTTTAGTCTCTCTTTCTGTAAATTCACTATTGGTGTATAAAAATGCCATAGATTTCTTGGCGTTAATTTTGTATCCTGCTACATTGCCAAATTCATGTATTAAGTCTAGTAGTTTTTTGATGGAGTCTCTAGGGTTTTGTATGTATAATATCATGTCGTCTGCAAATAAGGACAGTTTTACTTCCTCTTTTCCAATTTGGATGCCTTTTATTTCTTCTTCTTGTCTAATTGCAATGGCTAATACTTCCAGGACTATGTTAAAGAGGAGTGGCGAGAGGGGTATCCCTGTCTCGTTCCTGTTCTTAGGTGAAATGGCTTTAGTTTTTGCCCACTGAGTATGATGTTGGCTGTAGGTTTTTCATATAAGGCTTTTATTATGTTGAGGTACGATCCCTATATTCCCATATATCCTCAATTTTTTAAATGGAGATAATAACTACTATGTCCACCTTTTGTGAGAATTAAATGAGAAATACACGTAAAAATATTTAGTTCAGAGTCAGCGCATAATAAGCTCCCAATAAGTATTAACTATCCTATATAATAAAAGCCTAATATGCTAAGTGTCCGGTCATCCAGTCATCCGTTTAACCAATCAAAGCGTAATATGCTAATGATATGCTAAGGCCGCTCAACTGCTCGCTATGATGTGTACTGACCACCAGGGGGCAGAGAGTAGACCAGTCGACCAGTTGCTATGATGTGCACTGACAACCAGGGGGCAGACATTCCAACTGGTAGGTTAGCTTGCTGCTGGGGTCCGGCTGATCGGGAATGAGCAAGTCAAGACGGACACAGCCTGGAGCCCTCCCGCGGTCCCTCCCCAGCTGGCCAACCTCCCATACCCCTCCTCGGCCCCGATCGTGTACCAGTGGGGTCCCTCAGCCTGGCCTGAGCCCTCTCGCAATCCAGAACCCCTCAGGGAATGTCAGAGAGCCGGTGTTGGCCCGATCCCGTAGGCCAGGCCAAGGGACCCCACTGGTGCATGAATTCATGCACCGGGCCTCTAGTTCTTAATAATTAGTGGTAGTTTTGTAGTTTTTAAAGAATAAAATCTAAGTTTCATTTTGGATAAAAAGCTCTTGAGGGGTTTTTATGCTGTTTACATAACCAATTTCAGTTGTTACCTCCACTCCTCTAGCCCAGTGGTCGGCAAACTGCAGCTGGTGAGCCACATGTGGCTCTGTGGCCCCTTGAGTGTGGCTCTTCCACAAAATACCATGTGCGGGCGCGCATGTACAGTTCGATTGAAACTTCGTGGCCCATGTGCAGAAGTCGATATTTTGTGGAAGAGCCACACTCAAGGGGCCAAAGAGCCGCATGTGGCTCGCGAGCCGCAGTTTGCCAACCACTGCTCTAGCTCCATACTTTATGGTCAGAGCCATATTAAACTTCTTGAAGTGCCCCAAACACAGCATGTTCTCATATCTGTGTGCCTTAGTACATGCTATTTGCTCTACCTGGGGTGCCTTACCTCTGTGTATCTGGCAAATGTCGACCAGTTTTTCCTAAGTCTCAGTTTCAATGCTACCTCCTTTATCTTCAGGTAATTTCAGGAAACACCTTTGTCTGTGCACAATGCTTCCATTATAGCAATTATAATTATTAAAATGATTAAAAGGAACAAGAAATCTACTACATGTCAGTGGTGAAAATTCTAAGAAAGCAACAACACTTTAAATTCTAAGTAGAACTAAGTGAAAATAAACCTGGACATTTAAATTAAGTAAAAATATAGGGCCTTTTTTGTTTGCTCTTTTAGTTGTTGTCTCTGATTAAACCTACAAATTTTCCATAGAATAATAGTTAGTCACAGATTTGTCTGTTCTCTTACCTATTAAAGGAAAGATTGATTGTCTGTAGTCTTATCAACGATTCCATTTCTTCAGGCAAGGAATTTAAAAAATTGTTTCTAAGTTAGAAAGAAAAAGATGATTTACAAAATAATTTTGTTCAGCTTCAATTTATAATTAGTGTTCATCACACACAAAAAATACACAGCTCTGCTTATAAATCTTCGATCTGATCTGCTTAAGGCTGAGTCCTCAGAATGATAAATCAGTCGGCTACCTCAAGTATTTGATTACTTTACCAAATTCTACTACCAATATGCATCCCATTGATAATATAATCAACTCTTTAACAATTGATTTAATAGGACTAACACTGTTAACTAACTCCTTATCTCCTTCAAACTGAGCTCAGCAATACTTCTCCAGATCAGGGCCCTTTACATCATGCTTTGAAATACCACATTCTTTGATACTACAGATATTTGATTGGTGTGAATACACAGATATCTTGCATACAGACATGAAATTCTACTCAAAAAATTTTAAAATATTATATTAAAAACTTGACAGGAAAGTAGAGAGATGCTACATATTTAGAAATCTGGAACTTTCTACCACATAGGTATTATGCAAGTCCATTTCTACTCTAAGTTTGGAATTTAAATTTGCACAGTGCATTTTCTTTTTTTAGATCTTATGTTGAATCTCATTTACTGTTGGAAGGACCTGGGAACAATGTTAGAAGGAAGGTTAACAAAAAGGTAGGATTATAGAGGCTATATATACCTAACAATAGAAAATATCTGTGAAAAAATTATATCCAACCTGATGGCTACATATTACAATTGAATAATTTCCTCTAACTTATTTCTTTACATTCGGAAGTCAAGTGTAATAGTTACAGTTCAACCTGTTTTTTTTCTTTTCTCTGTTCTTTTCTCCAGTTATTGTCTTTATTAAGGTGTACTGAATAACCTACTGCTCATTTCTATCCTTTTCCTAGAAAGTCTTATACCTACTGATATTAGACATAAAAGCATATTTTACTCACTTAATTAGAAACCTCCAGATATGGTTACAGAAAAAGGCCACACATACACACACCATTGAAGAATGGGACAAAAAGAAATAAATACAACAGCAATGTGGACATAAATTCACTCTCTTTACTCTGTTAATACTAAACTAAAATATGGTTTACACTGTTTTGCTAATGCTGCCACCCAAAAATAGAAACTAGTCTACATTTAGTAGGAGCAGAGTAGATTTGCTTTCATCCCATAAATAAAAAAAAGATATAACTTAACTTATTGTTATTTAACTACTGTTTGAGCAGAACAAAAGGAGCTAGACTTAAACTAAAAACCACTCCTAGTAACAATAGATGAGCAGTAGGAAACCTAGGTAGTAGACATATAGTATTAAAGCCCATGCAAATAAATGATTATCTAACACAGAGACATGTATTATTACCTTCAGAGAACTGTGATACTTTTGAACCTGTCACGTCAACTTTGAACATATTTAAACTTCCTACTACATCTGCAGAACCTTAAGTAGTTTCTTTTCTTCTTGTTGCCACTCATAGTGTTCCTTTTCATTATTTCTGGCATGTCTATGTAATATAATATTTTGGAACCAAATAGTTTCTTTTTAAGAGAAGCCATGCTAGCCCCAGCTGGTTTGGTTCAGTGGATACAGTGTCAGCCTGTGGACTAAACGGTCCCCAGTTCGCTTCCAGTCAAGGGCACATGCCCAGGTTGTGGGCTTGATCCCTAGTAGGGGGCGTGCAGGAAGCAGCTGATCAATGATTCTCTCTCATCATTGATGTTTCTATCTCTCTCTCCCTTTCCCTTCCTCTATAAAATCAATAAAAATATATTTAAAAAGAGAGAGAAAGGGAGAGAGAGAGAAAGCCATGCCAGCTAGCTGGTATGCCAGTACAGGATGGACAGTTTTATGTTATTTACTTTCAGAAAAGGAACCATGTGAAGCAAATACTTTCCACATTATTTGTAATTTTGCATAAGCAAGAATCTAAAAATGCGTTAATATTTTCCAATATCTAAAATAATTTTGTCATATAACCTAACTTGTAAATTGCCTACAATGATAGAAATCTGATTAAAATATTTCCTAAATGCTATATTTTAGAGTTATCCTAAAATATTATTAATAAACTAAAGACCAATTTCCAGACTTACTTAGGAAAATATGAGGGACAGGGCAAAAGTTAGGCAAAACTCAAAGACAAGTTATAATGGAAAAAGTGAAGAACAGTATCAATACATACCTGAGATCTAAAAAACTCAATTTCTGAAGCATACATAATTCCAAAGATATAAGGGAAAGCTTATTAAAACTGAGATTGACATCAGAAACCATTTCCTTCAGTTCTATAATCCTGAAACAAAAATAATTTTTAAATGTTAGCACTCAAACTATAAGAAGACCATAGAGGATAAAAATCCTGTATTATTTCTGCTAATTAAGATCTTCTGTAAATTTTACTTTCCTCATAAAAATTTTAATCAGCTTGGATGTGTAACTGATAAAAGTAGTTTTTAAAAACAGCCTTAATATTATCTGTCCCAGAATTTCTACTTAACCTTAAATGTATGATGAAGTTTAACAGCCCCTTTATTTTATATTTAAACCAATTATGGACAAAGAAAAGAACCAATTAAAGAAAAGTCAAATCTAGGCAATTTTGTTAATGATTTGAATCCATGAAATAAATGGTTAGGCATATATTCTATAACATAGTAGTTTTCTTTTTAGAGTGCATTATATAACACCATCTGGCTACTTCAAAATGTTTTTTAAAATACTATACGTCCACATTTTAAAAGTATAGTATAGTATTTATTATCCTATCATTACATTTAATCATGACTACAAGAAAAATTAAGTTAATTCCTAGGTTTGATAAGTGTCACTTACTAAGCAACTTAACTCAAAAACTTAAAAAGGAAGAACTGAACATTTCTAAGTAAGCCTAATCAAGCTTAGTAGTTTAATACTTAGTTAAGCGCCATGTCAGTCTCCAGTGACTGACAGTATATTTTCCGTCTGGACCGGTCAGTCACTGGTGCCACCAGCATATCGGTAAAATCAGATATTGCAGGCTAAACAGAAAAGAAGACAAAACAGGCTTGGCACTTAATGTGTTAAAAGAATGCTATTAATCTATATATATAAAAGTCTAAGCGACTGTCCGCCTAGCTGATAGCTATGACACGCACTGACCACCAGGGGGCAGACACTCAATGCAGGAGCAGAAACCACAGGCATGGAAACATGGAACAAACTGATAAATCTCAGAGGGAAGGGAAGCGGGGGGAAGAGATTAACCAAAGATCTTATATGCATACTAGAGGCCTGGTGCATGAATTGGTGCACCGGTGGAGTCCCTCAACCTGGCCAGTGGGGATTGGGCTGAACCAGCTCTCCGACATCCCCTGAGGGGTCCCAGATTACGAGAGGGTGCAGGCCATGCCGAGGAACCCCACTGGTGCATGAATCCGTGCACCAGGCCTCTAGTTGAACTATAAAAACATGAAATGCTATATATGGTTAGCCAAGAAATGAATTAAAGTATTGACTATAAATCATTTTTGTCTATATTAGCAAGAAAAAAAGAATATCAAATACTGTGCTAAAGAAGATACAATGAAAGATACAATGAGTTTGGATATGTATAGATAGCCATACTCTTTGATTTAGTAAGTCATCTAGAAATCTGGCCTAAAGAAATGTTTTCTTTTATTTATTGCCATAATCAACTTTATCATATATAAATTTTTCTATATTTAATCTTTATTGTTGAAAGTATATGTCCCCTTTTCCCTCCCAATGACCCCCTCAACCCCACACCTACCCCCCACCACCACGAAGCCTAGCGCACTATATTCTGTCCATTGGTTATGCATATATGCATATAAATTCTTTGGTTAATCTCCTCATGCCGCCCCCTTCCACTTGCCACTTTCCCTCTGATATTTGTCAGTTCATTCCATATTTCCATGTCTATGGATCTATGTTGTTGTTAATCCTCACCCAAGGATATTTTTCCTCACCCAAGGATATTTTTCCATTGACTTTTAACACGTTAAGCACCCGTAACTGACACTATACTTTCTGTCCGGACCGGTCAGTAACTGGTGCCACCAGCATATCGGTGAAATCGGATATCGTGGGCTAAACGGAAAGGAAGACAAAACCAGATTGGCGCTTAACGTGTTAAAGAAAGTGGAAGGGAGGGGGAAAGACAGAGAGAAACACTGATAGATTGGCTGCCTCCTGCATGTGCCCCAACCCAGGTTGGGATCGAGACTGAAACCCAGGTACATGCCCTTGACTGGAATTGAACCCGCACCTTCAGTCCTCGGGCTGAGCAAGGTTCTATCCACTGAGTCAAAACAGCAAGGACTCTGCATCTATTTTTATTTTATTTTATTTTTTTTAATGTATTTTTATTGATTTCAGAGAGGAAGGGAAAGGGAGAGAGAGACAGAAACATCAATGATGAGAGAGAATCATTGATCAGCTTCCTCCTACACCACCCCTACTTGGGATCAAGCCCACAACACGGGCATGAGACCTTGACTGGAATCGAACCTGGGACCTTTCAGTTGCAAGCCAATGCTCTATCCATTGAGCCAAATCGGCTAGGGCTGGATCTATTTTTAAAGTACTGTTTAAAACATAGTGAATTATGTAGGAAAAATAAACCAGTCAAGATACAAATTGTAACCTATAATAATAAAAGCATAATATGCTAATAATACTAAAAGCATAATATGCTAATTAGACCAGACATCCTTCTGGACGTCCTTCCAGAGGGGGCCAAGGCAGAGGTGGCCGCCACAGTGGGCAGGGGCCGAGACAGAGTCCCCCGGCCGCCATGGCAGGCGGGGGCCGAGGCAGCCACCGCAGCGGCAGGAGCCGAGTCCCTTTCATGAATTTCATGCATTGGGCCTCTAGTATAATTATAAATGGGGAATAGCTTGAAATAAAATATGCCATTAGTTAATAAATCAGTGATGGGACTATTAGCGATCTCTCCCTTCATTTAGTATAAAATCTTATGAATAAATATTATTTTTACAATCAGATAATAATATGGTGAAAACTCTAACATGTGGAATAAAAAATTAAGAAAGAGGGAAAGTGGTTCAGAAACTCTCTACAGCAACAGTGAAAATGATGATAAAATAACTGTGGTAACAGAATAACATTGTTTTGCATAACCAGATTGTGAGATAAAATAAGGAAGTAAGCAATAAGGTAAAGTCTTTTAACTCCTTTCATCTTTTTTCCCAATTAGCTTGTATGAACCAGGATCCCCAAGACAATCTTATCCTATCTGACAGCAAATATCAATGCTCAACTACTCTATCAAATATCTTCTGAGCCCTTAAAGAGAGAATGAGAAAATGAACTAAATCTCCCTTTTCAGTGGAAACTCTTAGTTATCATCTTTCAAGATCTACATTCCCAAACTATGCTCTGTAAAGTTATAGTTTGTTGGACTTTTTAAAAATTTTAAAGATCGAAAAAAAATTTTTTTTGCAATCAGATGAAACTCATTCTATTTTCCAAATATATCACTTTTTCTTCTTTTTTAAAAAGTACTTAAGTACTTACCAAATGCTAGGCACTGGTTAAATGCTTTATGTGGATTATGCCATTTGATTCTTATAAATAGCTATTAACATCTATATATATAAAAGCCTAATATGCTAAGTGTCTGACCATTCGACCAGTTGCTATTATACGCACTGACCACCAGGGGGCAGATGCTCTGACCGATAGGTTAGCTTGTTGCTGAGGTCTGGCCCATCAGGACTGGGCGAGACAGGCCGGACATGCCCTGGAACCCTCCACAGTCCCTCCCCGGCCCCGATCATGCACCAGTGGGGTCCCTCGGCCTGGCCTGTGCCCTCTTGAAATCCGGGACCCCTCAGGAGATGTCGGAGAGCCAGTTTTTTGATCCCCGCAGGCCAGGCTGAGGGACCCACCAGTGCACAAATCCATGTACCAGGCCTCTAGTAGGTAATAATAAATTATTATCTCTACTTCACAGGTGAGAAAACCACTAGTAAGAGCAGCTAGTTAACTTGTCCAAAGCCACACAGCTGGTAGATCTGGGATATAGATATAAACAATCAACTATATTGTCCCAATTCTTTAACACTGCCCAATCCTGCCTCCCATACTGTTGTCTTAATTGCAAAGTTATCTATCACCTTTCTTTGGGTATATAGTTAACTAGAGGCCCAGTGCACGAATTCGTGCACGGGTGGGTCCAGCTGGTCCGGCCTCAATGGGGGCGGATCGGGGCTGGGCCTGTTGGGAGGAGGAGATGGCGGAAGGTTGGCCGGCCAGCCCACCCTGATCAGGGCTGGCCGGCTGGGGGGAGGGGCCGTGGATGGTTGGCTGGCTGGTCCCACCCCCAGTTGGGGTGGGGGGCCTTTCATGACGGTGATAGCCCCTTTGAGTAAACTTAGGACTAAAGATAAAATCTGTATGATTTTCTGGTATTTCCTGATTGTTGAAACAAGGCATCCTCTAAAATTTCCAGGAGACTACGTTCCATTTCTCCCCAGCACAGGTATTTACAGATTGATTTAAAGCAATTTTATAAGAAAAAGATTTCTTTCATGAACTCCTGCTTCAGCTTTTTAACTTTTCATTTAAGTACTAGAGGCCCAGTGCAGCCCCGCCCCCTATTGGAGTGGGGAGTGTGATCAGGAATGAGGCCGGCCAGGGGGAGGGGCTGCAGGAGGTTGGGCAGCCAGCCCCAGCCCCTATTGGGGTGGGGTGGGCCTATCAGGGGTGGGGCTGGTGGGGGTGAAGGGGTGGAGCATTTGGCCAGCCAGCCCCACCCTTGATCAGGGTGGGAGAGTCCAGTAGTGGGCAGTACTTATTAAAGGATACTTTTGAGAACAGTAACTGGGAAGAATGGGAAAAGAGCAGGTTTGAGCAGAGTAAAGCTGCAATGCTGGCCAGGGATCAGCCTCAGCATACAGAGCTCTTGGGTCAATGGGGAAAAAGGAGATATATGTACCTGATCGGGCCAGTTCGCTGGTCACAGTGGGCTTCGTGTCATAGTGACCAGTCGTTAGGGTCGCTGGCTTTTTATATATATACTAGAGGCCCAGTGCACAAAAATTTGTGCACTCGGGGGGGGGGGGAGAGGGGGTCCCCCAGCCCGGCCTGTGCCCTCTCGCAGTCTGGGACCCCTCGGGAGATAACGACCTGCTGGCTTAGGCCTGCTCCTGGGTGGCAGAGGGCAGGCCCATTCCCTAAGTGCAGCCCCTGGTCAGGCTCAGAGCAGGGCCGATTGGGGAGTTGGGGCGCTGCCCCCTGTCATGCACAGAGCAGGGCGGATCGGGAGGTTTCGATGCCACCCTCACTCATGCTCAGGGTAGGGCCGATTGGGGGGTTGGGGCACCGCCCCCTGTCACACTCAAGGCAGGGTC